TGCCGTGGGTAGGGGGGCTGGCGGGCACTTACGAGTGCAGGCCGGGGACGCCGCCTTCGATCTGGGCCGACATGGTGCGCTTCTCGAATTTGAGCTCGCCGGAGTACATCATGGAGCTGCGGAGACAGCAGGCGCTGGGACCGGGCACGGGGGGGGCCACGGTGGGCACCGCAGCGGCACGGCTTCGACGCGGCACTCCGGTACCGGGGTCCAGGCACACTCACCGCAGGATAGAGAGGCTCTTGGCGCCGATGTCCTGGCAGCCGTGCTGGATGCCGGCGATCAGGTAGGGCATGAACTTGTGGATGGAGCCCTTGTCCTGGATGGAGCCCGACACGCCCTGCGCCACCTTCACCTTGTCCCCCTCACTGGGGGCACCGGGACAGACAGGCGTTACGGGCACCCATGCTCAGCACCCACGGGCCCCCTGCCCGCTCGGCCGGCAGTGCCGGGGGCTTGGGCACAGACCTGGCACAGCCCCCGTGCCCACCTGAAATAGCGCTTCTGGCTGCTGCTGCTCTTCTCCATGGCGTCGAGGGAGCCCATGCCCCGGTATTTCTTGAGCCGCACGCCGTCTGAGAAGAAGTACTCGCCCGGCGCCTCCGTGGTGGCCGCCAGCAGGGAGCCCATCATCACTGTGGTGGGGGCACGCGGGCATCAGGGCCCGGCGCCTGCAGCCACAGACCCCCCAGCCACGGGGGCACAGACGAACCCCCACCCCAGCACCCCTCTGCTCACCCGTGGAGGCGCCCAGGGACAGCGCCTTCACCACGTGGCCCACGGTCTGGATGCCGCCGTCGGCGATGACGGGCACGCCGAAGCGCCGGGCGTACTCGGCCACCTTGTACACCGCCGTGCCCTGCGGCCGCCCGCACGCCATCACTGCAACCGCGCGGTGGGAGGGAAAGGGCCGTCGGTGCTGGGGGCACGCGCTGGTGGGGGGCACGTGGGGCAGTGCCATGTGTGCCCATGACCACGGGAGCCGATGCCACCAGGTGGGGATGTGCCAAGGCTGGAAGACCACCCCCTCCACCCATGGCCAGGCACCCACCTTCCTGTGTGATGCAGATGGAGCCGCAGCCCATACCCACGCGCAGGGCGTCCACGCCGGCATCGATGAGGTTCTTGGCCTGCGCCGCTGTCACCACTGCCGGTTCAATGGGGACAAGCACCAGGGGCCGTGAAACACCCGGCCCGCGAGGGGGAAGGGTCTCCTGGTGCCCCCATATAGCCAGGAGAGGGTGGCCCCCATGGGCACTGTCCCCCAGGAACTCCCCAAGGCTCGGGATCCGTGGTTCACACTCTCAAGGGGACCCAGGGGTTGTCTGTGGCCCCCCAGCACCCCTCAGAGCCTCACCATTGCCGCCGACCACCTGCAACTCAGGGTATTTCTGCTTGATGTAGTGGATCATGCTGATCTGATACACGGAGTTGCCCTGAGAGGAGTCCTGAGGGGGAGGAAGGGGGGCCAGGGTGAGGGTACGGACCCCCCTGCTCCCCACTGCCCTGGCCACATCCACCTTCAGGCAGCCCTAGCCATGAAGCAAGGGGGAAAGTCTGGCCCACCCAGGGACGCCAGGCTAGGTGGGTGAGGATCACTGGGCTGGCCGTTCCCTGGGTTTAACCCTCCTTGCGCCAGAGCCCAGTGCGCACCAGCACGATGACATCGGCGCCGGCCTGGGCCAGCAGATCGAGGCGGTACTTGTCATCCTCGCGGGTACCGATGGCGGCACCGCACAGCAGCTGCTTGCGGGCGTCCTTGGAGGCCAGAGGGTAGTCGCGGTTCTTCTTCAGGTCCGTGCGTGCAATGATGGCCACCAGCTCATCGCTGTCGTTCACGATGGGCAGCTTCCCTGCAGGGTTGTCACAGCCGTCAGCCCTGCCCCTTGGCCCCAGCCCCGAGGTCACCGGGAGCCTTCCCGGCCAGAGCCTCCTGCCTGGAAAGTCAGATGATGAGCTTAGCCAGAGCCAGGAGGAGGTTGACCAGGAGGTCCCAGGCCTTGGTGGGGCGACGGATGGGGAGCACCGGGGCTTGTGCGGGAGGTGGGGGAGCGAGACCACGGGGTGCAGTAGAGCTCTGCCAGGGGGACCCGGGGCTGCAGGTCAGGAGTGAGGGGCACCAGCAGACCTGGGGGGAGTGGCAGGGGTGTGCGCGCTGGCCGGGGGGATGTGGGGTTGGCGGGGTGGGGGGACCACGCGGTGCCTGGTACCCTTCTTGCTGCGCTGCAGGATCTCGTTGGCCTCCTTGAGTGTCACCCCGGCCGGCGCCACCACGAGGTCATTGCGCTTTGTCATCACCTGCGGGTGAAGCAGCACGTGGCAGGGGGGACCCCAGGCAGGGCCCCCGCTCCACACCCCCGGCCCTGGCCTCACATCCCCTGCCACACAATACAGTCGCCCCGACTCAGCCCTAGGCATTGCCTCTGCCCCCGGGATGCAGGGGGGCCGTGGCCGCCAATGTCCTGCTGCTGCCGGGGGGGGTCATGGGCGCTGCAGAGAGCCCAGGCCAGGCCGTGCCCCTGCTGCAGAGGAAGGGGAAACCCCCCAGTGTGACCAGTCTGAGCAAGGGGGAAATCCCTTCCTGCCCCAGTGCAGCGTGGGTGCAGGGGCAAGACTCTGCAGCCAGGACCCTGCGGGGTTGGTGCCAGCAGGAGCGTTGGCACAGCCCAGCCCCAGCCCCAGCCTGGCACCCAGCGCCTCTGGGGGAGGAAGAAACCACAGCCTCCCACACCTGAGACTTCACACACCCATTGACTTCACGGCCCATCATGGTTCCTGCTAATCTCTTCACTCCACACGGGCTAACGACCCTCTCTCCTTTTTACGCGGCTCGTAACCAAGAGCAAGCCTTTCCTCTGCCACGCTGCTCTCCAGCAGCCAGTCCTGGGCACGTCTCTCCCACGTCACAGCCCTGCAAACTGTTCCCGGCTCTATCTAAAAACCTGAACTCCGCACAGTCGCATGAACGCAGGTGTAGAAACAACCAGCAGCAACGCCTCGGAAATGCTCTCGAGAAGCCTCTTTCTATTCATAACCCATAGATTTATTAATTAAATGTGTTCATAACGTGTAGATGTAGTGTTATGAATTCAAATGGAAGTGGGTGATGACTCCAGGACTAACGACACAGTATCTTTGGACGGGTTTGGACCATTTTGGCCTAGTTTCTTGTGGTTTTAACTTACTAGATCAGCAAACATTTCAACGAAGTGATGACTGTTTTTGCTTCTGTTTTAAGCTGAATAATACAGCCCGTTAGTTGAGCTTCTAGTTTCTCTTTCACTATGGGATGATACACCACGCCACCTGCACAGATCTGCCCACGGACAGACCCGATAGCCCACCCGATACCTCTTCCCAACTCAACGCAGAGCCAGCGAGGACGACCCGCTGGGCCAGCCTGTTATGTGGCCGCCCCATCGCCCCTCCGTCTATCCTGGGTTTTCGTAGCTTATGTCATGGGACACAGCACAGAAAGCCTGGCTCATGTCAAGGCCCATTGCACCCACTGCTCTCCCCCATCCACACGCTGGAGAAAGCAAGCAGCCTGGCTGGGCTGGACTCGCTCTGGGGGGACAGAAGCAGCCGCGATGCCCCGCGCTGACCGCTGCCACCCTCCAGCCGGCGGGCAGGAGCTGGGGGGGCGGCGGGGCGTTACCTGGCTGAGACAGGTGGCGTAGTCCTTCTCGGTGAGGAAGTCGATGTCGCGGGAGGTGACGATGCCCTCCAGCTTGCTGCCCATCTTGCCCGTCTGCGTGACCGGGATGCCCGAAAAGCCGTGCCGCAGCTTGGCTTCGAAGACGTCGCCCACCGTGTGCCCGGGGCTCAGCACCACCGGGTCCGTGATGAAGCCCTGCTCAAACTTCTGCAGAGGGGGGCGAGCTGTGAGCCCCGCAGCCCCCGCACACCCCCAAACTGCTCCAGGGGGGTGACGCCGGGGGCCGGGGGGCACTGACCTTGACCTTGCGGACTTCGTTGGCCTGGAACTCGGGGGTGCAGTTGTGATGGATGATCCCGATGCCGCCCATCAGCTGGGGGGAGACGGGGGTCAGCGTGGGGGGATCTCCGCAGCCCCTTCCCCGATGGGGCTGCTGCAGGGGAAGTGTGGGGGCACCCCAGGGGCTCTCAGCCTCCCTCCAGGAGGGTGGAGGGGCTCTGGGGTGGACCAGACCCAGCCCAGCCTGGCTCAGGGCGGGGGCCAAGGGATCAAATCCTGCCCCCGCCCAGCGCTCACCGCCATGGCAATGGCCATGTCCGATTCGGTGACCGTGTCCATGGGTGATGAGATAAGTGGCGTCTTCAGCGTGATCCTGCGGGTCAGTGCCGACGTCAGGTCCTGGGGGGCACAGAGCCATGAGTAACCCCCCCACCCCAGCTTCCTCGTGGAGCCAGGATCAGGCCCCGGGTAGCAGTATAGGCCCCGGGTCCCTGCAGGGGCATGGCTGGGGGGAGGGCGGGGGCAGAGCCAGGCCTCCATCCCTGAGCCCCTGGGGCCTGTGCCCCCCAGCCGGCAGGGGGTGGGGGTCTCCGGGGTCACTGCCCAGGGTGCCAGGACGCAGCCAGGCCCAGGGAAAGCTCAGAGCAGGCGGCTCCCAGCTGCCCCCCCGGCTCCCACCTGGCTGTGTTTACCCCACAACCCCCCCACAGATACCCCCCCGGCCTGACCTTGACACCCGCGTGCAGCGATTAGCCGGGCCGGAGGCTGATTAGCCAGGAAGGGCTTATCTCAGCACAGCCCAGTTCCCAAAACAGAGCCGGCTCCTGCACTGGGCTGGGGCATGGAGGAGGGTCCGGGGGGGAAGGGGGTCTGCGGCTCCCAGCATGCAATGCTCCAGCTTGCTAAGGGATGGGGGGGCTGTGCAATGTAGATGGGGGGTCAGGGGAAAAGCCGGCGGATGCCCCGGGGCCCCGGTAGGGGTCCCCCCCCCGGTGATGGGGCCACGGGAAAGCAGGGGTCCCAAGCCCAGGGAGATGGGGGTCTCGCCCACCCCGGACAGGGGGCACAGGCAGCATCTCCCCCCACCCCAAAACCACCCATGTCCTGCCAGCCCCGGGACCAGGACTGCTGGGTCCTGACCCCCAGCTCCAAACCCCTTCCCCATGCCCGGAGCAGGGAAGAGAGGGGCTGGTGCTCCCCCACCCGCACCCTGGACCTCGAACTCACCACCTCGTCTGCCGTGAAGTCGATGAAGCCGGGCAGGATGAGGAAGTCACTGCGGAAACAGGGAGAGAGGCCGACGTGAGCACCCCCTCCCCATGGACCCCAGCCCCCAGAGAGCTGGGTGGATTTCTACCCCCAGGCAGCTGCATGGGCATGGGGGGGGCAGGGCACGGGGCAATTGCAGGCAGGGTGGCGGGATGAATCCAGGGCTCTGCTCTCCCTGCCCTGCTTGGCCCAGGCAGGCTCCCCCTTCGGCCCCCTGGCAGGGGGCTATTCTTAGCTCCCTGCAATTAGCACCCGGCGGGGGCAGGGAGCCTGGCACAGCACCCACAGTGTGGGCGAGGGATCGCCCAGCTCCCACTCCCACACCAGAGCTTGCACCCCGAGGCCAGCACCAGTGTCTGGGGAGGGGATATGCTGCAGACAGGGTGTTGCAGCTGCCCCCAGAGCCACAGCCCCACACCAGGGCATCCCTGAGAGACCCCCGTGCCCAGCTAGGACACCACTGCAGCCATCAGGGTCCCCACAGCAGGCTCCAGGATGCCTCCCAGACCACCCCGATTCCCCCACAGCATCCCACCCTGGCCCCGCTGCGTGCAGGACAGTGCAGGGCTGCCCCGGGGCATGCAGGACAGTGTCAGACCCCCGCCATGAGGGGCTGCTCTGCACAGGATCGGGCCCGAGATGCCATTGCCGTCTGCCTGTGCCCCCGCCCCGCCGCGCCGTGAGCTGGCAGAGCCACGCAGCCGGACCCAGCTGCTAATCCCCCATTAACAGGGATTAAGAGCTCAGGGCCCTGGTAGCCTGCTCTGAACCAAGGTGGGTGGCAGAGACCACGGCCCCTTCCAGACCGGGGCAGCCAGAAGCCCCGAAAATGGCACGGGGGCATTGAGCTGCAGGAGCAGGGTCCCGGCACCAGCGCCCGGCAGAACGGGGTCACCCGGGAACCGCCCTGGACCCACACGAGGAGCTGGCGGCAGGGACTGGACCCTGCTGGGACGAAGCACCTCACCCTGCCCTTGTACCCGGGAGCAGTGCTCCCAGCGGAGACCCCCGCCTGGGCCAGGGGCGAGGCAGGCGTGAGCTGGGCCCGGTGCTGCCCCTGCCCAGCCCAGAGCGAAGGGCATGGGGGGTATCCCCCCCATCTCCATGCTCTGCGTGAGCCCCCAGTGCCTTGCCAGGGCCCAACGCTGTCAAACCATACACAGAGGCCTGCTCCCGCCCCAGGATCGGGGCCCCAGCTGGGACTGGCATATGCCTCCTCCATGCTGTGACCACTGACCTGCCCCACCTTTGAGCGGGGGGGCAGGGGGCTGTTAGCACTGGGTTGCCCCAAACATACCCTATGCCCGCCCACACACACACACACACACACACACACACGTGGCAGACAGAGGATCCCATGAACCCACGTGACGCTGCCCACGTGCCACGCCGCTCCGACCCATCTTGGCTCTGCTGGTGAGCCAGGCCCCAGCCTGTCCAGCTGCTCCGCGAAGTGGGGGCCAGCATGCTCCACCCCCCACCTGGCACCTGCAAACGCGGCTGCAGGATCGGGGCCCTGCGCTGAGCTGCAAGAGGTGAAAAACAAAGCACTGCGGGGAGGCCAGCAGGGCCTTCCCAGGGGGGTCTCAGGGGTGTAGCCCCCCCGAGGTCTAAACTCATCCGGGGGTCCCAGGAGGATGCCCCATTGGGACCCTGGCTAATTTCTGTCCCTCTCCCTGGGCCTTCCTCTTTTCCCACCCCCACCCCAGGCCTGGGCAGCACCGAGACCGCTCCGTTTCCTGTTGAATCAGGGATTTCGGTTGCGACCATCACCCGGGAGGCTTCGAAGCAGGTGCTGGAGAAGGAAGGAGGCACAGGTCCCAGCTCCCTGCACCCCGTCACACCCCTTAGCCTCTTGCAGCTCAGCACGGGGGCCCCGATCCTGCAGCGGTGTCAGAGGCACCCTGCTGACCCCCGATCCCCGGAGGGGCAGCTCGGGCCTGCTCCCAGGGCCCGTTCGGAGCCCAGCAGCGAGGCACAGGGGGCCGGGGAGGGCAGAGACGGGGCACCCCAGGAGCGGTCAGACCCCTGCACCCCGGACCGCGGCTCTGAACCCGCCTGCTCCGCTCTGCTGCGTCAGCTGCTCTCCCACCGGGGCCAGGAAGGGCCCTGCGGTGCCTCGCCCAGTCCCGAGCATCCCCGGGGATGCAGCTCTGGGAGGGATGCTCTGGGCTGCATGGGGTCTCCCCGTGCCAGGATTGGGACCCAGCTGCCCGCCACGTCCCGGGTCGGGGTCAATCGGCCCCCAGGGAGCCGGGCGGAAGGGGCCGAGCTGCGCCCCGGGGTGCGGGGCCGGGGGTGCCGCGGCACTTACTTGTAGGTGAGGCCGTCGGCCGTGGCGAGGAGCTGCTGGGCGGGGAGCCCGGCC